ATATATATATATATCTCTGTGTATCTTCCTTGTAAATATATATATTTTTTATTTCTAAGTGAAGGCTCTTAGTACTTCTTCCATCACTATAATATCTATAATAATATGAAAGAACCATTCTGCACAATGAGTACTTTTACTACTAATTTAATAAAAAATAACAACTTATAATAATAATACTAATAATATGATGATAACGGTAACTTATAATGAGAATAGTAATCAACATCATCATAATGATAATATGAGTATAATAATACAATAACTTATAATAATAATACTGATAATAATTATTATGATGATAACAATACATACATAAATCACTAAATAAAACTAGTGTTTTCGTGCCACCATGTTGTGTCTCTTCTTCTGCGGTGCCGCTAAACATCGTCAGAGTGAGACCTCCTTCCTTCCGGTCCTCTGACAGCTGCTCTCTGAGTGAGAACGGAAGACATTTTGAAGCTGCTGCGGTCGTTAGGTCCATTATATCGAGTGTCAGTCAGCCTGAAGTCGGGGCTGACGTTGCTAGAGAGTCTTAAAGAAGTCCGTTAAAAAAGTCTGTTGAAAACAACAACCAAGACGAGCTTTAACAGAAACAGTTGTAGTTTTAACTGGTGTGTGTGTAGCATAGCTAGCTTAGCCAGCCTACAAAAGCTAGCAAAGTTGCTAATTAGATGCTAGCTAGTTAGCGCCACCTAGCTGGCCTCCTTCCTCCTTTCCTTCCTCCTTAACCTCGACAAACGGTCACTTTTACACACACAATGGCTTTAAAACGAATCACCAAGGTAACGGACTTCAACTTGTTCTTTAACTACATTAACTATTAACAGTGTAACGTTTGTAGTTCTTAAATAACCGATGTCTGTTGTAGGTCGGTAGCTAGCGTTAGCTCGTTAAGCTAGCGGCAAGTTAGCTTGTTCACCCAACTGCTACCGATGACACAACATTTGACATTTTAAATTGTCGTTTTATAGCTTTAATATGTTTTTTGGTTTTAAGGGTTCTTAATATATTTTCTGTGTGAATTGTTTACACGCATTAACATGTATTTATTATTTATTTTGGGTAGAAAACCCTCCGTAAATTCTTTAAAATGAAACAATAACCCCGGTGTTAGCTTTAGCTTCTTTAGCTTAGCTTTAGCTTCAGGCCTCTGTCATTAAAATAACTGTACCGTCATTTTTAACTGACACCATCTTTTTAATTTTGTCCACGTTACGGGTTTCAGGGTTAAGTGAAGTTTACTCGATGAAGTTAACTTTTTACATCTCAGCTCATCGGTGGATTAAAGATTTAGATATTTTTTACTGAAGTGAGACTAGAAATACCTCGTTGTTTAAATAGGGTTTATAGCATTTAATACGTGACTTATGAAAGAGTTTAAAAAGTCATTATTTATTTTAGTAATATCGTAATATAATGACATTATTATGTGAATAAAGACTGCCCTTCAATATTACCACTCCAACATATAATGCATTATTTTCCTCATAATTTTGGCAATTAATTCAAGAAATATTACTACACTCCAAAAATTGTTATATGTGACCTAAGAAAAAGTCATTAATTATTTAAATAATGTCGTAATATAATGACATTATTATGTGAATAAAGACTACCCTTCAATATTACCACACAAATAGGCTGCATTATTCTCCTAATATCAATAATTTTGCCAATTGATTCAAGAAATATTACTACTTTTATCTTCAAAAATTGTTTTACTAAATATAATATATTTTCTAATTTTATATCTTTTTTTCCTGAAAATCTTTTTTTCCTCTAAATATAATTTGTTTTTATTCTATCAGTACATCTAATACCTTTATGTAATACTCTACGATTTTATAGGAAAAGTCATTATTTCAAAATATAAAGTTTTAATTTTATAAGAAGTTCTCATCTCTAAATATTTTCACAATCAGAGTTTCACAGGATGAGATAAGAGGATAAAAGTAATAATTTCACTAGAAAAAGCCAAAATATTTTGAGTCATAATATTACAAATGTTTAGTTTAACAGTCATCCAATGGTGGAAGAAGTAGGCTAACATTTAAATGTAAAATATTATACCACAATATAGGACGTGTCACATCTCGATAACAATGTATATCAATATAAAGCATGTTCTGTTAGTTCAATTACTAAATATTGTGAAATATCCACTTAACATTAGAGCTTAATTTGTAAACTAGTATCGAGTATTTTCTCATTTAATTAAGAGCTTTAGTTTAAAAGTGACTTTTCAGAGGAAAAAGATAAATATTTACATATATTCACATCTTCAAAATATTTAACAGATTTTCTGAGAAATATAAGTTGGTATGTTTTTGTTTTTATCAATTTAGACACGTAATTGTGTATCAGGATATTTTGATGTATGATGTCATCTTATTGAATTATCGCCTAAATTCAAACTGTTATATTTGCACATTGTGCCGGAAGTTTGAGATCACGGCAGATAAAATATGACTATTAACTTTTTAGTCTTTGTTGTTGTTTTATAACCACAAATAAATACAAAACAATTGTATCGGGGCAAGTACAAATGTACTTCGGACAAGTATATCAGTGAAAACACTTCTTAGTCGTAGCCCGGAGATAAGAATACTTTATTTTTTATCTTTGCAACTTTTGCCAAATATTCACTTGTTCCAGCTGCTGAAATGTGAGGATTTTCTGATTTTTTTTTTTTTTTTTAAAAACTGAATATATATATTTGTGATATTTGAAGATGTGAACTTTGACGTTTTTTAATATTTTTCTGTGAGAGTCTAATGAATGAATTATTGAAAACGGTAGTTTCAGCCCTTAAATTTGATATTTTATTCACGGTTCAGTAATCCGTCAGGGTAGTTTGACTATTGAACCATTTAGGAGTTTTTAAAATACTTCTAGTTGTATTTTTACACAGTAAACTTAAACCAAATGTTTGATACTAAAATACAAAGAGGACTCAAAATGATGTGGTGTCAAAACAGCCATAAAGATTTTATGCTATAAATAAATAATGAATAGAAAATTATTATTACTTTATTACTGTTACTTTTACACACTGCTATAACATAGTTTGAATAGTAATAAAAGGGAAATGTAATCGTAAAAAATTAAGTTTGTTTCTTTGCTGGTAAATAATCTAGCTGCTATTTTTTTCTTTCATCTAAAATAGAAAAGCAACACTTTAAATCTTACATTTAACAGAAAAGTTTCCTTTAAATAATCAAAAGTCATTAGGCATAAAAAACGACAAACCAACTAAAAATATCTTAAATATTTCCAGAAAACTGTTCGATACGCAAAAAGCTTCTTAGAGGCAATGCTAATCAAGCAAACGTGTCAATAAAATATTATAAAAGTCTATTTTACTCGGGTTTCTGTGAGGCAGGATGTGTTTTAGTGTCTAAAGCCTTTGTCTCCCCCTGCTGGCAGAGACAGTCATTTATAATATGATTTTGAATTTGAACGAACACTGTCGATGTGGTAAAGTTATGTCCACCGTGACCACTTATTTCCCCCAATATTTGTTATACCTGTTGTATAATTTGAGTAAAGTGATTCACCGGATTAAATCATGTTTGTTTTAAATCAACTTTCTTTCGTGAATATGAGGAGAGCAAACTGTTTTTTGACCACTTCACACTAGCTCTGGAGTTATTAGTTAAATAATCTGATATACTGGATTA